AGACAGGCCTTAGATTCCTTCTATAAGAAAACTGTTAAAGAGCTGTTTCTGAGAAACTGAAATGAAAGCTGTTTTCTTATAAAAAAAATTGTTCTTCTGTATTTTGTAACCTGTAAATTGTACCTTACTCAGGATGCATTTGTGGTCATGGTGAGCTACATCCTGGGTTTGAGTGCTCTTGTGGGTCTACATGACTTTGAAATAGATTCTCACCCCACCAACCCCAGCTCAAACTTAGGATACTGATGTCTAGCACCTGCTTGAATCTGGAAATGTGGTTAACTGAATTGCAAAGCGGATTGCCTTTTTTATAGCTTCTGTACTAGCTTGCTTGCTAACTGGAAAATTCTAGTCCTGCTTAGGGCTTGCAGGTCCCGATTATTACTGTTTTAATTTCTGTGACTGGCTTACTTGCATGAAGCTAAGGAAAGCCCTTGAGTTGTGATTTTCATCTTTAAGTTCCCTGCTGCAGGTGTCCCTGACTCAGTCAGGCTAGGTGGGGATCCATAGCAACCCCCTAGCAGCCACCAATCAGCATGAGACAGGGAAATACCTAGGATGCCAGATATAGGTTAGGAAGTTGCTGTTCTCCCACAGAGCTTCAGTCTCTGGGGGTGGGTGACAGTCCTGGGCCAGGTAAATAAAGCTCTTTTTTATTTGAATTTGGACTTAGAGTGTTTTCTGAAGCAGCTCCCCATAACAGGCCTATCCCCTCAAGAGGCTACTATGTGCAACATAATCCACACACAACCCACAGATGGCTTGTGACACTGTGGGATAGTGTCTAATAACTACATTCAGATGTAAAAGGTTCAGAGCACTGCTCAGAATCACCTGAGGAAATGGCCAGTTTAAGACTCATTTTGTTTCCCAAGCTTGTTATTTCTTAGAATTTTGTTTTAAATGTGCTGTGTGTAAGGTCAGGCAGTGGCAGTGACCAAAAGGAGGCAGATTTAAAAAGGCTGCTGAACAAGGCTTTATTGAGACCCCACTCCCTATCAGATGGACAGAGTGGATAGGAAGAGGGTCTGAGGAGAAACCCTGTGGGGACTCTACCAGACTGGAATTTTATGGGGCTTAGGGCAGGAAGGGAAGGGCTTGGGACAGGAAAAGGTGTTTTTAGAGTCCCTTGTCCCAATGGAGTTGGTTGGGGGAACTGGCTGAGATCCAGGATTGGCCAGGAGACCCTGCTGATTGACAGGGGATTCCGTAGGTGCCTGATTTGTTTCTTTTGCCCGAGGGCTTAGGAACAAAGCACTTAGGAACAGAGACACTTAGGAACAAAGCACCAAGGATATGCACAGACCTGACACAGTGTATATCCTCTTATCAATACTTGTTTTATCTGTAGGAATGACTGACCATTAGATGGGCCATGAACATGGGTCCAATATGGCAGCCATCAAAAATTGGGCCTGTTCCATCTGGACCACTTCTCTCCTGCCTGCTCTTTTCTTTGGTCCACTTTAGACTCCATGAGTTAACATTTCCTGCTACTGCTTTCTACTTGTGGTTTGAATCAGTAACCTCTCTGTTGTCTGTTAAGCTTTAATTCTAGCAGGAGAATTATATATTTTTCTGGCTATTATGCTCGAATTCAGGACCCCCCAAAGACCACCCAAGATCCAAGATCGATGTAAGCAGCAAAGAGGTGTTTATTGCGAGCTAGCTCCGTCCTCCGCGCGCACACACAGCTACTGGTGACGCTGAGAGGCCCTGAGCCCAGGGTTTGCAGCAGTTTTATACATTCTTTGGAGAAGGCAGGGACTTCACATACATCATAGCATCTCTTAGCAAATCATCACACACCACCGCGGGAAAATCAAATAACAACTCTAAAACATGATTAGCACATTCACTGGCGGGAACAAGTTGGGTAGAGGTGATTGGTCAGTACAAAAGGGGTATTCATTTGAATTGATTGGTTTAAGCCAAGAGGGGTGTACGTGCTGAACTACATGGTTTCCCAACATGTTATCAACCACCATAAACTACTAGGAGGGTCATCTGGAATCCCAGGTATTTCCCTGTCTCATGCTGATTGGTGGCTGCTAGGGGGTTGCTATGGATCCCCACCTCGCCTGACTGAGTCAGGGACACCTGCAGCAGCAGATCTCTCCTGTTATTTATAGATAAACAACTTAGCAGGGTGGGAATGTGCCTAGGAGTGCTCTGTGGGTTTTTCCAAGGACAAAGGTGATGTCCCTTCCTTGGACAGGCTTTGCTCTGAGGTAGAGGCTGGTTTTTCATGGCTTCCTTATCTTGGCTAATATTTCTTGGAATTTATAAAAACATTTGCCTCTCCCATGAAATGCCCGATTTGAAACACAAGATCTGTCTTCTCAAAGTCACCAGATCCTGATAATTTGGGGGCTTTAACCAAATCTTCAAGAAATAAAACATTCTCATGCATCAGGGCCTTTTAGCCAGAGACCTCCAGGTACCCATATAAAGTTTACCGAGTTGGAATTATTACTGTTACCGCTGTTTACCAGTGACTGAGTCCTTGCTTCTTCGAATGCTAAAATATAACACCAGAGAAGCACTCCGAGACAAGTTTAGAGTAGAAAGTAGAAGCTTTATTAAGGACAGCAGAAAAGAAGAAGGGGACCCAAGAGGTGGAATCCGTGGAAGGGGGAGGTCTTCCCTCTTTTATAACTAAGGTCTTCTCTCAGCTTTCCCGCATTCCTGTTGCATTTCTGTCCTTAGTTCTGTTATCTTGCAGTGATGGAATGTAGGTGGGGAAGGCCCAAAGGGTTGGGGACAGGTGGGCTGAAGAAGTAATCTAGGCAGGAAGGACGTTTGGATTAGCATCTGCTTGTTTGCTGGGTGCTGCTTCATTAATATTTCGTTGGGATGGGCTCTGGGCCTTGGGGACATTTTCTTTTTCTTTTTTTTTTTTTCAGAGTAGAAATTAGAAGTTTATTAAAGGAGAGCAAAAAAGACTTCTCCCGGAGGAAGAAGGGGACCCAAGAGGTGGAATCCCCTTGGGGACATTTTCAATTCCCGTTTTCCTGTACTCCATTCTCACTATGGCCTTTGTTTTTGATTTTACTCCATATTAGACCCGATTTACCTAACCACACTAACTACCTACCTGTAAATCTGCCTTCATTACCTATTGCCACAAGTAGGAACGTGGGAGCTCGGGAGCCATGGGCTTGTCTTGATAAGAATGTGTAAAGAAAAAACTTTATGGGATGTGGGCTTTGGTTGGCAATTTGAAGGAGGGTCTAAAGAGGGAGAGATTTGTTCTACATCTGATCTTGTTATAAAGCATTTCTATGCCTGGGAAGTTCAAACTTGTCTGTAGGAAGAAAAGACTTGCATGAAAATAAAGCTGTAATTTATAAAAAAGTAGTAGTTACTCATGTTGGCCAGGGGAAAGGTGTTGGTATTTGTAATTACAGACTGACCCTGTTTTTGTCTGTGCTTAGACAAACTTAATGGAGTGCTTTGCTTTGTCTCAGTTTATCAGAGGGACCCAGTCTGAGGTCAGTATTTTGTGAGTTTATTTCTATCTTGTAGGCGAATAATATAGCCTTGCTATAAGTGTCAGGCCAGCTTCTGAATGACAGATATAAAAGCCCGTACATCTCCCTTTCAATATCTCCTTTTCTGGTTCATTGTCTATTATTACAACACATGCAGGCTAACCTCTGGTTTACAGCTTTAACTTTTTCCTTGTTTGTGCATTTATTGCCTGTGCACCCTTGGGCAAGTTGCTTAACCTTGTGTGTTGATTTCCTATGTGTAAAATGGAAATAACAGTAGCTACTTTATGTAGTAAGGGCTAAATCCCTTAAACAGTAAGAGACTCAAGCTGTTATTATTATCATTTTCTCCCAGTACTGGGGTTTGAACCCGGGGATGCTCTACCACTAAGCTACAGCCCCAGTCCTGCTTATTTTAAGCAAAGGTCTTGCTTGAACTTGGGATCCTCCTGCCTCAGCTTCCTTAGCAGCTGGGATTACAGGCATATGCCATCTCTCCCAGTTTTGTTACCACATTTTAATTAAATAATTTGGTCATTAGTCATCCCTTCAGAGTGGCAACTGATAGTGGAATCATTCTCCACACTCAAGGTTTGAATTCTGATGCAAGCTGAATCACCTTCTATTTTTTTCTTATTGTTCCTTATCCTGTTCACTCTTCTGCCTAACTCTTCATACCATTCTTATGGTTCTCATTCTTACGTTTTGAAGGCTAAATGTGTGTATTTACAACATGTAGGACATAATAATGCCTCATGTTACCCCTTAAAAAATGTTACTTTAAAAAATACACATAGTTTTCTAAGTTCCTTTGGGGGAATGACAACGTGCTTTTCGGTTTCACTCCAAAGTGCCTGCAAAGCACAGAGGGGAGGCCTAGCTCTGTAGACCCTGCTAACGAAGCTCCAGAATCCTCTTCTCAGAGCCCCTGAAGATGCGGGGTCCACAAGTGTGTAAAACAAGCCACAGAGGGGAGTCATTCGACCCATCCGTCATATCGTAGACCAGCGAAGGTCCCATCACCTAGCAATTCACTCAATGCACAAGAGCCAAACTTTCAGGGCCTGGTTGCGCACGCGCGCACGAGCACGCCTGTCTGGGGGCGCCTGGGGCACACCATCCCGGGTAGGCGAAAGCACGCGGAACCTTTATCCTCGGCTACGTGTTTCCCGCGACTCCGCTCAAATCGTTGCACTACTAAATGGACGGCCTCTATCCCCTACCCCCAGGGGCCTCTCCCGACTGCAGGTTCCCGCGTTGGTGACCGCTGATTTCAACGAAATGATAAACGGACACCCTGACGACCCAGGACGGCTTCTCCAAGCCACGTCCCGCCGGCGGCCCCAGGAGAACCTGTGCGGGAGGCGTCCGCCGCGGGACCGCCCATGCGGCCCCTACCAGCGCGGAGCTGGCGCACGGCGGCCGCGGCGCAGGCTGTGGCGCGTACCGCGAGCGCGAGCCCGAGCCCAAGCGCGCTCACGCCGCCCGGCGCTCCGCCCTCCCCCGCCCGCCCGTGGAGCCGACCCCGGAACCCCGCGCCGTTGGAGGGACCCCGAGGGAACCCGAGCACCCTGTTGGGTTTGAGTGAAGCCTGAGGAGAACGGGGTAACTGGGGAGAGCAGCGGAGGGCAACGGAGCTGGCCCTGCACGCCCGGGCAGTCGTGGTGGCCAGGCGGCGAGTTGGGTGAGCGAGCGCGGAGTGAGCAAGCCGGGGGCGGAGTCGAGCCCGGCTGCGCTCCCAGACCGGTGGGCCCGGGCCCCAGCCGGCCTGACCTCGGGTCTGAGCCGGACGGCCCTGCCACAGAGGGACGCACAGAGCGAGGAGACATGGCCACACCATTCCTGCCCGCGGGGGCCACCACGGGCGACAGCGGTGGAGAGCTGAGCTCAGGCGACGACTCCGGGGATGTGGAATCCCCCCAGAACCCCGAGACCGAGGCGTCCAGGAACCTGGCGGAGCTATTTGAGAAGGCTGCCGCGCACCTCCAGAGCCTGATTCAGGTGGCCAGCAGAGAGCAGCTCTTATACCTGTATGCCAGGTACAAGCAGGTAAAGTTGGGAAGAGGTGGATGCAAGAGACACAGGGGGTCCTCGTGTTCCTCCCAAAACTGAAAGCCAACATGCATGATTAATGTCTAGGTGAAATGAAGGGTGTGTGTGTGTGTGTGTGTATGTGTGTTTTGATTAACTGCTGTCAGTTAGCATCATTCTGGACGTGGAAAAGATCTGTCTGCCAGGAGGGCTATTTACTTAGCTGGACATAAAATGACAGTTTTTCTGTATCTTCTCTTACTCAGTGACCTTGTACTTTACCAGCCTCGGAACATTTTCAAAATGAGGATGATAAAATAAGATTTAGCATTCATTTACTCTTGCCAAAGGGACATATTGAAGTAAATATGGTAATGTTATTAAAAATATTTTGAGATCTAAGGGAATAACAGGATTGTAATGAATAAGGTGCTTCAATACAAAGTAAAATAGTACTACATTTATTGTGATTTTTAAAAAAACCTTAAATATAATTTGAATTATGTTTTGGCTGAATGTTTCTGTTAGATAAAATCATAAAAATTTTAGAGCTATAAACACCAGATAATTCCCTTCATTTACCAAAGAGTAGGCTCCTTGCCTAGAGTCATATAGACACATCTGTCAGAACTAGATTATAACTCCTAACTCTAAGGTTCTGAACTTTACCTGGAAATATGGAAATGTGTTAGTACTCATATAAGACACATTTAAGCCAGGCATGGTGGTGCATGCCTCTAATACCAGCAACTTGAGAGGCTGACACAGCAGTTTGGTAAGTTTGAGGCCAACCTCAGCAGTTAACAGGACTTCAGCTGTGGAGAGCAGTAAAGAGAATGGATGAGCAGTGACTGAGATTGGGGATCTCTGATGACTTCATGGCTGTGGCACACCTGCAGCCTGGGAATGTTTGTGCAAGGGCACAGGATGCCTAGGTGCTATGGTGATGCCCTGCCCGAGGAGGCTCTGTGCGAAGGCCTTATCAGCTTTCACCTTGATCTCAGGCATATAGCTTCCAGGGATAGAGGAATTCTCATGCTAGACAACCTCAATATTTCACCAACTGTGCTACTCCTGAGCCTGCCTGTTTAACAGTAACTTTAAACAGTGGGCCTCATTGAGCAATACACAAAGCTCCTGACATTGTACATTGTAACTGTGGAAAAGCTGCATAGATGTTTCCAGTTCTGTAACTTTCCTGAGTACAAAGAATAATGCTTGCATAGTCTTTAACCTGATAATGAGACATATATAAATAAAAATTGCTGGCTTAACTCTTAGATCTGCTTCTCCATCAGGGAGCAGCGCTCCACCATCAGGGAGCAGCGCTCCACCATCAGGGAGCAGTGCTCCACCTGATCTCAGCTATTTACTTCATATCTGTGTGTGAGTTTTTCTTTCCTAATTTCCCATTGTCCCTCCCTGGTACCACCAGTTTGGCCATGCTGATTGTAGCATCCAGCAATTTAGGGAGATCCTGTCGCAAAAATAAAAATTAAAAAAGGATGGGGATATAGTACAATGGTAAAGTACTCCTGGGTTCAATGCCAGTATAACAACAACAAAAAAAGACATTTAGTTTCTTATTCAAATAAGTCATTGATTGGTTACCAGAAGGAAAATTAATCACTTTCTCATAGTCAACAAATATTAGTTCAGCATCTTTTTGTTTTTGGTACCGGGTATTAAACTCAGGGGCACTCAACCACTGAGCCACATCCCCAGCCCTTTTTTGCATTTTATTTAGAGTCAGGGTCTCACTAAGTTACTTAGTGCCTCATCATTGCTGAGGCTGGCTTTGAACTCATGATCTTCCTTCCTTAGCCTCCCAAGCTGCTGGGATTACAGGTGTGTGCCACTGGGCTGGGGTTTTATTTATCTTTTTTAATATATGTGTGTGTGTGTATATATATGTGTATACATTTATTTTTATACATATTTTTATATATAATATACACACACGTTGTAGATAGACACAGTACTTTTATTTTATTTATTTATTTTTACGTGGTGCTGAAGATCAAACCCAATGCCTCACATGTGCTAGACAAGCTAGGCAAACGCTCTAGCTACAACCCCAGCCCTTTTCAACATCTTCATGTCATGTCTACAGATAATGCAAAGAAGCAAAAGCATCATGATGCTTGCCCCTAAGAGGCTTACAAAGTACTTGAGGAATCTAGATTTAAACACATGAAAAATGACTGATAATGAGTTAAATTACAGCTCAGGAAAACTCTGGATCTTTGAAACTCTGGATGAAATGAAGTTCTGGATTATAGCCTATTTTATTTTTATTAAAAGCAACTTAATTTTCTTTTTGCATCTTGGTATAATGACATATTTTTCCATGTACCCTATGTATTGTTTTTAATAAAGTAGTTAGTTGTAGAGGGTTCCCCTGTTTTCTTAAACTGAATGTACTGAATAGAGATGAATGATTATGAATGTTTATGGATGATTATGAATGTTAGTTTATGTGACTTGAGAGATATAGGTACAAATGGTATAAATTATAGTATTGAATGAAAATTGTCCTACAATTGGCCTGCCTTGGAAGTAGCTTTCTTGCAAGAGTTCTGGATATTTATTTTCTTTGGGGGCATTTACTTTATCCTAATAACTTTAGAAAGAAACTATTGAATAAATTTGACAACTATTTACTAAACATTATGCTAGGACCTATATATAGCATGTCTGACAGATGTTTCTCTGGGCAGTGTAAAGCTAATTTTCTCCAGATTCCCTAGGAAACAATCTTTTTCTTTCTTTGGATATATATTTATTGTCATTATTGTTAAGTACTGATTTCTAAGTCATGAGTGAACAATAGACACCTGTTAGTTGGCCACCATTTATCTCTGTTGTATTCAATTCATCCAGATAGTCTGAAGGAATATTGTCCTTCATTCTTCCAAGAATGTAATCTTATAGTCTATGTTTAGATTATTTTGTATTTAAAATTCTTCATTATTAGAGAATAAGATTATGCATGTTAGATCTGACACTGGACCACATATTTTTAATCAATCTCTCCTAAATTTTATTTCTAGCAGAATTCTGAGACAGTGTTAAAAATGGCATCTTTGGCCCAGTGGCTTGGGAGGCCGAGGCAGGAGAATCAGTGCCAGCCTCAACAAAAGCAAGGTGCTAAGCAACTCATTGAAACCCTCTCTCTGAATAAAATAAAAAAAATAGGGCTGGGGATGTGGCTTAGTGGTTGAATGCTCCTGAGTTCAATTCCCCCATCCCCCCAAAATAGCATCTTTGGTAGAATAATGAAGTTTGAAGTCTGATACAGTGTCTGCAAGATGGATCGAAATTTCTTACAAAGTTTCACTTGGATTAGCATCCTATTTTGGAGGCTAAATGAGGTAAGATTGTTGGCAGGAAGATGATAAAATAAGCTAAGAGATGAACCTTATTTTCTCAGGCAGAGATCTAAATTAACCTAGTTAAAATATTAGCTCTTTTAGTCTCAGATTAAACTATGACTTCAAAATTATCTTTTTAATTAGATTTCAAAAAGATCAAATCATTTAACAGTTTTTTGCTTCCTCTGTGTATTAGCCTGCAGTCTCTCAACAGAAGATAACTCATTGATACCTGTGAAATGAAAGGCAATGAAAATTTCAAATTCCTGTTGGATTCATTTGATAAGATTATTTTAGACAACTAGTTCTCTTTTGCGAGTAAAAGATCTGACCAGAACAATATTAGGGGAGGAAATGTTTATTTGGGTGTTCACAGTTTCAGAGGTCTCAGTCCATGGACAGCAGGCTCCATTCCTGGGGGCTTGAGGTGAGGCAGGACATCTTGGTGGAAGAGTGTGACAGAGGGAAGCAGCTCACATTATGATCAGGAAGAAGAAGAGCTAAAGAGAGATCTCTGCTTGCCATATACAAATATATACCCCATAGCCATGCCCCCTATGAACCACTTCCTCCAGCCACACCCCATCTGCCTCCAGCCTCCACCCATATAATCCCATCAGGGATTAATTCACTGATTAATGTTATACCACAATTATTTCTCCTCTAAACCCTCTTGTATTGTCTCACAGGTGAGCTTTTGGGAGATACCTCATATCAAAATCCCAACAAAGATCCTCCATTACTAGCAGAATTGAAGATACTCTGCATATCCTTCTTTAACTTGAGCATACTCGATTCCCTGGCATTTGTTCTTGGCAACTTTTGTTGAAATATTCTGCTTCAAGGGCACTAAATATATTTTCCTCCTTTCTTTCTTCCTACCTACCTACCTACTTATCTATTTATCTACCCACACACCTACCATACCTACCTACCTATGTTAGAGAACAGAATTTTGATACTCTGTTAAAGTGGTGCATATCCCTGGTTCATAAATGATTCAGAAACTGCTGTTATGTTTTCTCAGTCTTCTAGATCCAGAACTATTCTTTAAACTTGGGAGTTAGAAAAGTTTCCATGTCAGTTAGAATACAGGGTCAATTGCTGAGCCTTTGTTTATCTCAGATAGTAATCTAGAGATAGGTGATCTAGAGTTGGTAGGGTGGCTTTCTTTCATGAGATCATCCAAGGACTTCTGCTTATTGTCTTATAGCTCAATCATCCCCTAAGGCAGCAGTTCTCTAATTGTGGTCCATGGACCCCTGTGAATTCCGGAGACATGCTCTGGGTTTCATAAGATCAAAATTATTTTCATAATAATACTAAGACATTGTTGAATTTTTCCTATGCTGTCATGTTGAATAAAACAGCTGATTCCTTAGTATGAATCAAAGCAGTGATAGCAAACTGTTATCAATGGTCATGTGTATTTTTTAACCACCGTATACTCGAGTATATTATTTGTTTTTATTTAATATTAATTCTTGAGGGGCTGGGGCTGTAGCTCAGTGGTAGACCACTTGCCTACCACGTGTGAGGTACTGGATTTGATCATCAGCACCACATAAAAAAATAAATAAAATAAAGGTATGTGTCCACCTATAATTTAAAAAAACATTTAGTCTTTTTAAAAAAAATTAACCCTTGAGTACAAGTCTCTTTGACATTGTGTGTGATGAAATGGGAGGTACACCCAAGGCACCTCTGATGCATCAGAATATGTTGCTGTTTGGAGGAAAAGCACTTATGTGATTTCTGAGTTGCAAACTAAACTACCCACTTTTTACCATGGAAAATCATTTTTACTTAACAGAACAACTGACAGATAAACTGTGTATTCATATTTGGTTATTTGGCATATAGTTTCTTGAAAATGAGAGAAATGAGCCCTTGCCTTTAAGGAAAACAATTGAAAATATTTGTTGCCAATGATAACATTTAAACCCTCTAGAAAATTAGAAGTTTAGAAAATCTGCTGCCATGAGCTTGACAGCATCTAGTACTTAAATTTTTTTATAAGCAATGAGAATAATTAATGTGAACTTTTTAAAAAAAATATTTATACTTTAGTTATAAGTGGACACAATATCTTTATTTAATTTTTATGTGGTGCTGAGCATCGAACTCAGTGCCTCACACATGCTAGGTGAGCGCTTTTCCTCTGAGCCACAACCCCAGCCCTGTGAACTTTTAATGTACAAAGAAATACATCAACATTTGGAAAATCTGCGTAACTCAGTGAACTATATTTTTTAAACATTTCACAGGGCAGTGTTACAAAACATGTGTGGGTAAAAGATCAATTCAAAAAGTGCACATCAGACCAATGGTTTTCAGTGAGACAGTGTGAAAAATTCATTGATGTAAATCCAGATTCCACATTGCAGCTAACCTTAAAGGAATTACTATTGTTGAATTTTGGTGTAATATCAAAAGAACAATATCCACAGTTACCTGAAAATGTGATCAAAATAACTTCTTAGTATTCTAACAACATATCTATGTGAAGTTGAATTTTCTTTATAAACTTCAACCATAGCAACACATAACAATAGATTGGATATAGAAGTAAATATGAAACTACAACTAAGCCAGACTTTAAAGAGATTTACAAAATGTAAAACAGTGCCTTTTTTCTCACTTTTTTTAAAATTTGGTAATATGGAGTTATTCTTCATAAAACATTTTTTATTTTGTTGACATACAGTGGGTTTATTGTTATTTTCAAATGAATTAATATATCTTAAGTATTTTAACTTCTAACATGGCAAATATCAATAGATATAATCCACATGAACAAAAGCTCCTTGGGGTCCTTAATTTTTAATAGTGTAAAGGGATCTTAAGACCATAAAGTCTCAAATTAAGATTCCTCTTCCCATGGCCAGAGAGGGTCACCATCACCATATACATGTTCTAATCAAGTCAAAGGGAAAGGGGATAACAAGCCCCTTTTCTTTATAAGGAAGATATTTTTATAATTTTTGTACACATCCAGTTCCCAAAACCTAGACAGAAGTTGCATGGCCACATATACTATTTCAGTTGGATGACTATGTGTCTAGCTGAGACTAATACTGTAGGAGAAAGAAAGAACAGATAACTGGCATTGGTTTCTGTTTCTGGATGACATCTAGACAAAAATGTTAAAATATTAATAATTGTTATTTTTAAGATGTTTTATAGTTTATATAGTTTATCTTATCCATATTTCTGGCAATCCAATAATTCATTTGATTTTAGAGACACTAGAACTGAAGCCTCATTTCTGTAACACCTAAGGCAGAATGATGTAGTGAAGGAATATTGGATTTTGCAGTCCAACAGGCCAGGATTCAAATCCTGACTATTTATTCAGTATTTGCTAACATGTGAATTTAGACAACCCCCCTGAGATTCTTTTTCCTCATTTATCAAATGAGTTTGTAATGTCATTCCTTGCAGGATTATCGTGTGGCTCACTTATAATAACTCAAGTCAAGTGTTTGGTCTATGGTGAGACTGTTCAAGACAGACATTACTTTCTCACCTTTTCTTCCCTCCAGCCTATCATAACAGGGCTGCTTCTATAAAATCATACATTTTAATAACAGCCAGAGGGCCATGAGATTAATTGCTCAGGAAATGAGAGAGGTGATAATTTTTCTGAATTCAGAGGTGGATAAGATCATTGTACACTGAAAAGGTTCTTAGAATCTGAACCTTGAGCAAGACAGAAAGGAGATATAGCATTTTGAAAAACCTAGGGAAGAAGAGAAGGCATTTCAAAAGATTGAAATAATATGAGCAAAACACAGAACTAAAAATCCCTAAGGCAGTGAGTAGATCAGTATGGCTGGGTAAAGGCATCAGTTTAATTTTAGCAAAATGCAACTATGCAAGGATAATAGAAATATCAGGAATGCCTCTGAGATGTAGATAATTGCTATGGGTGAGTTAAGAATAGTTTCTTAGAGGTTGTGTTCTAATAAAAAGACAAGACTTTATGCAGAACTTCCTAATGCAGTAGAAAATGTCAAAATGCCACAAGAGATATACAGAATAAATGATATTAAGAGTTCATAAGGAAGGGAGATTTTGCAGTGGCAGCCATGGACTGCATGGTGAATTCTGCATTTGTATGAATTTCATTTGTGCGTATTTATAATGAAAATAATCTGTAATTTAGCCATTGATGTCATTTGAAGACCAAAAAAATAAGTATTGACAAGATTATTGTGGAATAGATAGAATTTATAGCGTTGTTGTTGAGAACACTTGAAATTTTTTGCATGGCTTTTGGCACTAAATTCATATTGATGAATTTCATAATAGGCCATTTTAAAAGTAGTACACTTTATCCTGGAATTTGGGAGAGATGGGATGCAAGTAGCATTATAAGAATCAGCATAAAGAAACAATATTATGGATTCTTGAAAAACTGAACTTTAAAGTTTGTTAATTTGTTAAAAGTTCTTTATTATAGTGTTGAGAAAGACTATATAATCTATTTTATAATTTGCCTTATAATTGTTCCACTAAGGAATGAAACTGTCACCCACAGTTTTTTGTAAATATAGTATTAGATAACAATTTTTTTTATAGTAAGCTAAAGCTATGTGTATTTTTAAGTTTGGTTTGTTGTTTGCTTTTGCAAAGCAAAATTATATATAGATGCATATTTTCTAATCCATAGTTATTAAACAAATTCGAAAAGAAAGTTTTTGACATTTCTTTGAAAAATAAGTTCTTAATTGTTTTTTAATCTCCTCATTTAGGTCAAAGTTGGAAATTGCAATACTCCTAAACCAGGCTTCTTTGATTTTGAAGGAAAGCAAAAATGGTAAGAAATTCTTGGACTCTTTAATGAGGCTGATGGAAATGATTTAGGTGTTTAGGAATTAGAAAGTAGTGAGCAGATTAAAGAATTATTTTTATATTAATCTCTCTCTACTGTAGACTGTGATAATGACAGGCAATTGGGAGAGGGATTAAAAGAATCTTCTTTTAGCTAAGACTTCTAAAGGATTCTTATGCAGTGACGTTGGAATATAAGTAGTTCACAACAAATGTGCTTCTGTCCATAGGAAATGTATGTATGAGAATATCTATCAGAGCTATTGCGTAAGATTTTTTTGCTACTGTACAGCCTCTAAGGGGTCACCACTCTGCCCCTCTGGAGGCATCTTTGAGAGAAAGCCAAGGGGATAGCCTTGAGGAGAATAGTAGGATCAATCCCCATTTTGAACTCTTCTCCCTTGTATCAGTTTTAACCCCTTGGCTCTCTTGGCACTGTTCTCTTCCTTGTCCTACCTATACTTTAGGAAAAAAGTTTTTATCATAATTTTTTTGGAAAGAAGATGGGAATCCAAAGCCAGATCATGACTAACTCCACTTTTCTGAATAAATAAAGATCATACTCATCCCAGGTTTTTGTCCACTTTTTTATTCAGTGGTTTTCTTATATGAGGCCTTATTTTTTCTTCCCTGGTTTATGTGAAAAAAGAGAAGTTGCATATATTAGAGAACCTTAGTTATAGAAGGAAAGGCTTTGGAACATCAGCCCTGGAATTAGAAGAAGCATCAAGGATAGAGTTAGAAAAAAAAAATAAGATGGAATATAGTTGTAGAAAGAATAAGTGCTCAAAGGTGAATTCTGACTTTATATTCTAACACAGTCCTGCTCAAGACGTGGTCCTCTGGACAAGTTGCCTATCTATCAACTGTTTGTTACCCAACTGTAAGCAAATATAGAGCTGAACCTTGAAATAAATCACTAGCTATATTCTTCAAATCAAACATTTTTTTTTTCTGGTAGAATATTTTAGATCGCTTTTTTGGGGTGCAGGGTGAAGGAGGAAATTTACAATAAAGGAAGCAGTGCTTTGATTTACATTCTGGTACAAGTTTTCTTTGCTTATGACAAGCAGTTCCCTGGCAATTTACTACTGTTCTAGGGAATACCTGATAAAACTTTTATTGTGATTTTTTTTGTTTAAATTTGTGAAATTTTGTAACTTCACCATTATTTTTCTCTACATATTGCCTGTTTGACCATTGATTTTAGAATTAAGAACTGTTTATATTTTATAGCTATCCTAATAATTAATTCAGGCAAGAATCATCATTGATGCTAAAACATTATATGGAAAACTATTGAAGAACAATATTTACACAACCTGACCCACAGTTTACTTATTAATTATGAAGGAAAATACTTGTACTTACTAATTATAAGAGAAAGCTTGTGGATATTGCCATTACTAACTCATTAATCTTACCAGTGATGGGACAGGCTAACATCATGTTTCCCCCAAGGGTGATACATTGTAAAGGACATGTCACCTATATATTGCTCTTGCTGAAATACTAAACCTGATTATAATCATGATTAATCATTTTTGTAAAGGAAACAATGAGACAACCCAAACTGAGGGGTATTTTACAAAACAATTGGTTTTAAAAATTTTTTAAATTGGTTCTGAAACATTTTTAATTGGTTTTAACTTTTAGAAAATGGTTTTTAAGAAATGTCAACATCACAAAAGACAAAAAGGTTAAAGTAAATGAAATTCATTGCTCTTTGTGAATCTTGATTGCCTCCTGGTCTGGGTGAAGAAAGTCATAAAGGACATTGTTGAGACAATCAGGGAAGTCTGACTATTTGTTTTCTGTATTATAGTATTGATGAAAAATTTCCTGTGTTTGACATAAGCTGATACTGTTAGGGGTGAAGTGTTTCAATGTAAACAATTAACTCTGAAGAGATTGAGTAGAAATAAACTTAGAAAGCCTCAGAAAGATGTTTCTTCATCATAGGAGCAGGAAGGTCATGACAAAACTGTGGGACTGGATTGTTTTTCAAAGGATCAGGAAAATTAAGAAACCGTGGTTGGATGTAGAAAATTGGAGGGTCAAACCAAGAAGAAGGACTGTCTTAGCAGCCTGCTTAAAAAAAAGAAAGGGTTGACTCAAAAGGATACTCAGGACTAAAATGTTACTCTTGGTGTTTATACTATCAGAAATTCCTTCCTTTCTTATCATTAGTATTCTTAATTCTGCTTCACCTCCCTTCATTTTTGAAATCTCCAACCAAGGCCTCAACATCAGATTGTGGTAGCTTATGGAAAACAGAAGGGGAAGGTGATTTCTTGAATCTTAACTAAGAAGCTTGATGCATTTTCCGAAGAAATATTTTTTCTTTTGTGATGATTTGTTTCTATACTGCCAAATGCCATAAGCATATTAATTCATAAGATGGGAACTACTTCTGTTGGTTTATAGGCCATATGTTCTTAATAAGGGTGAAAATTGTATTTGGAGAAGTGGTTAAAATCTTAGGTTACAATGGTTTGTGATCTTTGAAAATTCAACAGATACTCAGTTTATTTCATGGGAGAAGGCAATTAGGAGAAAAATTTCCAAGAAGTCTCCTTATGTGGAGTGATAAGATTTGTATTGCTGTTGGTCCATATAAATGCAAAAAGAGAGGGCTTCTCCTTTATGCATAGCTTTTTATCTCTATTTACCAGACCCTTGAAATGTGTATGAAATTTTTAATAATAAATAGTAATATGCTTTGCTTTATTCACATATTTAATGATGGGCCATTTTGGATTTTCTGTACCGTAGGGAAGCGTGGAAAGCACTTGGTGACTTGAGCCCCAGTCAAGCAATGCAGGAATATGTCGCAGTGGTTAAAACATTAGATCCAGGTTGGAATCCTCAGGTAAGACTTAATTAGACATCATACTTGGCAAAACCTTATCTTTCTCTCAGATAAAATGTTTAAAAACGAAGCTTTGGGTTAAGTAATGTACTGAAATTTTACTTCCTCAAAAGAGTATAGTTATTGCAGTATTTTCTGAGAAAATTATTGCTTAAATATTAACATAATCAGCTACTGATTCTGACAACTTCTCTGACATAGAATGGAGTTTTGTTTTGTTTTTTATTTATTTATTTGTTGTGGTGCTGGGGATTATCAAACCCAGGGTTTTTATGTGCTATGCATGTAGAGAATTTTTTAAAGTATAATAATTTTAGTCAATCATGTACGAATTCAGTTCATTTTAGAATTTGAAAGTGTTTCTCTTGAGGTCTTCATTATTATCTTGGGGAAAGAAAAATTTCTCTGAGATTGTTTTTTCTTTTTTTTTTTTTTTTTTTTTTTAGAGAACCCTTCTGTACCCTATATTTTTTGATAGGAATAAAAGACAAATAGGACATGTTTTCTCTTATTATGTAAAGTATAATGGAGACATTAAAACATAAAAAAAGTTTAGTAGTATAGAGAAACAGAAATACAAATGATAGGGAATCCAGTGGAATAAGAGATTGTTTTGAGCTTTGGGGACATTGGATATTCACTATACCCTATCTTTCCAGTGTTCTTATTGGAAAATATCCAGAAAGAATTTAATAAAGATGGATTGCTATTCTATTTTTAAAAAATATTTGTTTATTTATGTAGATATAGTTGGACACAATACCTTTATTTTATTTTTTAATTTATTTTTATGAGGTACTGAGGATCGAACCCAGGGCCTTGCACATGTTGGGCAAAAGCTCTATCACTGAGCCACAACCCCAGCCCTCTATTTTTAAATATATTTTAGGGCTGGGGATGTGGCTCAAGCGGTAGTGCGCTTGCCTGGCATGCGTGTAGCCCGGCTTCGATCCTCATCACCACATACAAACAAAATTGTTGTGTCCGCCAAAAACTAAAAAATAAATATTAAAAAAAAATTTCTCTCTCTCACTCTCTCTTAAAAAATATATATATATATATATATATATTTTTTTTTAAAAACGTGGTTAATGGGTATTAGGCATGATAGAGGTTGCTTGGTAATGAAAACAAGTGCAAATTAATTTTTTAAATGAAAATATTTAGGCCAGACATTTTAGTGGTGGATTAATTCAGTAATTTTCATTGTTTTATAATAATTAAATTCATGGGTATGTAGTTGTTACCTGTATGATGTTTTTGTTCCAGCAGTCATGGAATCTTAAACTCTCAGAGTTGCTAGGAACCTTAAAAGATTAGGTAGTATGACATGTTAAAGTGTATCTTAATTAAGAGTACAAAGAAGGAGCCAGCTTAAGATATCTTGAATGATATGACTGCCTTTTGGAAATAATTAAAATCATCTAATGTTTTTGATATCCATTGAGTGTTTAGTCTTAGAAATTTTTCATTTTATCATAAAATACCACAGATAGTATATATTATAAATGCCCTAAAGACTTCATATCTGAAATTCAGTGGTCAAAATACATGCCCCCTGAGCTGAACTCAGCTTGAACAAATGGGGCATGGTGTTTAAAAAATGAGACAAAAACTTGAATATGAGTGTCTTTAGATAGAATACTTATTAGGTCTAGTCAGTGATCTCAGTTTTTCTTGATTGATTTATGACTTGGTTCTTTCTGATCCTTGGCCTCTGAAAGTATTTGAGTATTTAAATTCTGATAAATGAAAGAAGTTATAATTTCTTACCTTTATTACCTTAATTACTCAGTTAAATCCCATTAACTATGACTCTTACAAATGTTTTCAGATTTCATATGGTCAGGTTGTTCTTCCTTATGGAAATCCAGAAGGTATTAAGGACTCTTTGTAAAAGCATCTAAATCTCACTTATTGAACATATACTTGAGTAAACCACACAAAACCAAAGGCACATTAGCATTCTTTAATGAATTACTTGATTCATTAAGTAAAATAAAAATGAAATTTAAAAATTAATATGTTGTTTAAGGGCCGGGATTGTGGCTCAGTGTACACACACACACACACACACACACACACACACACACACACACACATATGTTGGACACAATACCTTTATTTTATTTATTTTTATGTGGTACTGAGGATCGAACTCAGTGCCTCGCATGTGCTAAGTGAGCACTCTACTGCTGAGCCACAACTCCAAGCCAATGTCGAATGTTGTTTTTTTTTTTTTTTTTGATATGAGGAGGCTGATTCATAGTGGGATAGGGAGAGGGAGCATGGGAGGAATAGACGAACTCTAGATAGGGCAGAGGGGTTGGAGGGGAAGGGAGGGGCATGGGGTTATTAATAATGGTGGAATGTGATGATCATTATTATCCAAAGTACAGGTATGAAGACATGAATTGGTGTGAATATACTATGTATACAACCAGAGATATGAAAAATTGTGCTTTATATGTGTAATAAGAATTATAGTGCACTCCACTGTCATATATAAATATAAATAAATAAATAGTTTCATAGATACAAAGATCTTCTGTATGGCCTTTACCTACATTCATCAGTTATATTTCCTTTATCATTCTCTCTAAACACATATATACATAATATTTCTAAACTATTCAAGATAAATTGGAAATATCACATTTCTTTACCACTAGATATTTCAGTATTTCCTAAACACAAAGGTCTTCTCTTATATAAATGTCTTTATTGTCAAAATCAGGAATTTTTAAAAAATATTTATTTTTTAGTTGTAGTTGGACACAACGTTTATTTTATTTATTTATTTTTATGTGGTGCTGAGGATTGAACATAGGGCCTCGCACGTGCTAGGCGAGCGCTGTATTGCTGAGCCACAATCCTAGCCCTCTAAATCAGGAATTTTAACTTTGATTCGTGGAATCTAAAGTCCATATTCAAAATTATCATTTACCTTAATAGTGTCCTTCATAGTTATTTCTAAAATTCTGGTCCATGGTTTAACTCAGCTGTATTTTTGTTTTCCTGTCTCTTTAGTCTCCTTTAATCTGGAATATTTCTCCTGATTTCCTTTTCCTTTTTGACTGTGATATTTTTGAACAATATAAGCCAATTTTGGACAATGTGTCTCATTTTGGATTTGCCTGATATTTCCTTATAATTAGATCCAGTATATGCATTTTTAGGAAGAATATCAAAGCCTCATGTCCTTAGTATCACGAAGTACATACCTGTTTGTCCTAGTATTGGTGATGTTAATTTTGATCACTTGGTTAATAGTGGTGTCCAGGATATCTCTTCTGAAAAGTTCCTTAGTAATTGATGAGTAATTTGTGGGGACACATTTTGAGACTATGTAAGTATCCTTTTTCCCAACAAGATTTCATGTATTTTTTTTTTAAGAGAGAATGAGGGGGGGGGGAGAGAGAGAGAGAGAAAGAGAGAGAGAATTTTATTATTTATTTTTTAGTTATCGGTAGACATAACATCTTTGTTTGTATGTGGTGCCGAGGATCGAATCCAGCGGCATGCCAGGCGAGCGCGCTACTGCTTGAGCCACATCCCCAGCCCAGATTTCACGTATTAATTCACCTAATATTCACAAATGTTTTTCAAACTCCATTATTTCTTCTGCATTTATTATATAGCATTCAACTGCAAGAGTGACTTTCCCTTTTACCTCATTCATTGTCAAGAACTGTGAAAGTCCGACATTTTACTCTGTTTGTAAGCCTAGTTAGCCTGTTACTGTTTCTTAAATGCTGGCAGAAGGTACATGACTCCTGGGTCCCAGCCAAAGGACTTTATTATTCATGACTTATGGCAAGCTGTGTGAGCTTCATTTGGTTTGCATTGATTTCTCATGTCCCCCAAGTCCTTCAGGGTCTACACAGGTAGGCCTGGTTGGTTTCCTGCATACTCAGCAGTTTATGCTATAGGGAAGGAGCACTGAGTTGTGGAATTCGCCACTTTTAGAGCTGGTGGAAGTAAACCTATGCTTTGTCAGGGGTTGAAGAGGATTACCTCATCCCTGAAGGTGGCATGCTGTACACACAATCCTGAGAAATGGCCCCGGTGGTAAGTGGTAAGGGCCTTGTTACTGAATAAGAATGTGAAGGGACAGTCAGGTCCCATGGTGGATTGCCTTACCCAATATTCATGTATTTATGAATTTACAATCATGGATTTCTATTTTATTCAATGGGGTATAATCCATTAAAATAATTTATTTGACCACAGGATACTTTTGAGATGGTTCCTCCCCATCCTTTTGATCAATGTTGACATTCTTGGAGCATTTTTTTGCTTTCTGACTCAAAATGTGCCAGGCTGTATTAGTTTCCCGCCACAACTGTAACAAAGTACCATAAACTCACAACAGAAATATATTGTCTCACAGATCTGGAAGTCAGAAGTCTAATGGAAGGTATTAGCAGAGCTGTGCTTCCTCTGAAGGTTATAAAGAATGCTTCCTTGCCTCTTCCAGCTTCTGGTGACCCTACATTCCTTGGCTTGTGGTTTAGCTCCAGTCTCTGCCTCTGTCTTCAAATGGTTTTCTTCCCCATGTCTGTGTCCAAATCTCCCTCTCCTTTCTTTTGTAAAGATACCAGTCACTGGATTTGGTGCCCTCCCTAATGAAGTATGACCACATTCTACATCTATTTATATATGTTTCATTATCAGGTTAAAGACTATGCAAGCATTATTCTTTGTTACAGAAAAGTTACAGAACTGGAAACATCTATGCAGCTTTTCCACAGTTACAGTGTACAATGTCAGAAGCTTTGTGTATTGCTCAATGAGGCCCACTGTTTAAAGTTACTGTTAAACAGGCAGGCTCAGGAGTAGCACAGTTGGTGAAATATTGAGGTTGTCTAGCATGAGAATTCCTCTATCCCTAGAAGCTATATGCCTGAGATCAAGGTGAAAGCTGATAAGGCCTTTGCACAGAGCCTCCTCTGGCAGGGCATCACCATAGCAGCTAGGCATCCTGTGCCCTTGCACAA